ATTTTGGCAGTTTGTCCATGACATGTCTAGGTGTGGCTGTCGTCGTGTGTAGCAAAGTTGGTATTTATTGAGGGCCTTAGAGCTAAAGGTTCATGTTTTTCATCAAATTTGGGACGTTTTAAACCGCTGTGTCTTTTAATTCTTTTTGTTTCTTCTGTTCTCCTTCTCCTGGGCCTCCTATTACATGCCTGTAGGACTCTTCATATTGTCTCACAGGATTTTGAGACTTAATTTGCCTTGCATCTTTTTCTCTTTCTCATTTAGATTGGATATTCTTGATTGATTTGTTTTTATGTCTGTGATTATTTATTTTGCCATTTTAAATCTGCTGGTGAGTTCATCTTACCAGTTTTTCATTTTGATTATTGTACTTCCAAATTGTACACTTTCTATTTGTTTTGCTTTTTAGATTCTTTTACTTTATTGAGACTCCATATTTGTTGACTCATTGTCATCTTATTTTCCTTTAGTTATTTGAACTTATTTGTAGTTGCTGCTTTGAATTCTTTGTGTGCAAAGTCTAATATCTGAGCCCTTCAGCGTAAGTTTCTATTGACTTTATTTCTCATGATTATTGGTCACATTTTCATGTTTCTTTGCATATCTAATAGTAGGTAATAGAAAACTAAACATTTCAGATAATATATTGTAGCATATCTGGATTTTGTTTTATTTTTCTGAGTTTTAAAAAATTCTGATTTGTCCATACTTAAACTGTGGACTCTTTACCCTCTGCAGTTTGCAGCTGCTGATATTCCTGCTCAGTTTTTGTATTCTTATTTTTTTAGTTTAGCCTCCGTTCCTTGGGACTACACCTTTGTATAGCTTACTGGTTCACACAATGATTTGGGTAGAGGCTGTACCTTATGGGTGGAGCCCATAAGGCTTCCATCCTCTGCTGCCCAATCTGTGTAGAACTCACTCAGTTACTGGTAGTTATCACAGCTGTCTAGGCTTTTTCCTGAGTGTGTGTAAGTTTCCTAGTCAGCCAAGGATGTGTGTGGCGAGCTCATCATAAGCCTTTCTGTGTCTGTTTTCCAGATTCTGTCCGTTACATTTCCAGCCAGCCTGTAGTTTGCCCCAACCTGGGCTGTGCCCGGCTAGCAAAACTTCGGTTTCCCCCGGTTCCCGCTGTCCCTGGCTTGCCGTGCATTCCCGTCCCTGCCCTCGGGCTGGTTAGCCCCCGCAGCGGGTCAGGCGGCCCTGTTCAGCGACTACAGTGGCGGGATGGGTCCCGTGGGGTCCACCCCTGGCAGGGAGATCCTGCCTTCTGCTCTTACAAGAAGCCTCAGCAGTTGTTAAAAAGTAAATGCTTTTCCATTTGTTGTCTACCTTGGGTTGATTTCTAAAATGCTGGTTTTTACAGTTTTGTCCAGTTTTATGCTTGATTTTTAGAGAGAAAAATTACTGATGTCTTCATACTGCCTCAAGAGTTTTTTATGAATCTTGTTTGAGATATAATTAATCTGCCATAAAATGTACCATTTTTAAGTGCTTAATTCACTGGTTTGTAGCATATGCACAAATCATTGTGTGTGAAAAATGGTGAAAGCTAAGTAAGGTCACAAATTCTAGAACATTTTCATCATCTCCCCCCCAAAAAAATTTTTTACTCATGATCTCTTGATATTTGAAATGGAGATTTTTTTCAGAACTTTTTAGCTTCAGGTCATTTTTCATTAATTTGCCAACTGTTTCTTGAGCTCTTTCAGTTGGATCTAACTCTTCACCTTAGTTACTTTAACTTCTTTGATTATTTCTCTTCTGTAAATTATTTTATACATATCTTTTCTCTCTTGGACTTGTCTTCTAGTATCCTTTATCATTCTTATCTCTTTTTCATTTCTCAAAATACTAAAACATTTCTTAAACCTGTTTTTTTTTAAATTTATAAATTTGATTTCTAGACTTGAGATTTGCTGCCTGTTACCTTTGCTAAGATTTCTAAAAGTTGGCAGTCATGCTTGCTTTTTCCTTAAAGCAATCTCTGTTGCTCTCAAATTATTATCATTTCATAGATTCAATAATCTTTTGAATAGCAATTAAAATATATACTGTTTTCTAGAATTAGAAAGCCTAGTGTTGAGTTTTTTTATTTTTCCCTTCCTTGCCAGAGTTCTAATATTTATATTTTAATTATTATATATTTCTTGACTTTTAAAAGCGTTTAGTTGTGAAAAACTTCAAATATTTACAAAAGTAGAGTGAGTAGTATAATAAATGCTGTTATTCCCACTTTATAGGTTCAGCAGTTATCAATTCACGGACAACCTTGTTTCCTGTAGTCTTACCATTTTCCTCCACCAAACAATTATTTTGAAGCAAATCCCAGACATCTTTCACAAATATTTCAATATACATCTGCTAAATTGACTTCCATTTAAAAACATAATCATAATATCATTGTTATACCTACATTTTTAATTTCTTAATGATCATTATTACATCGGTATATTCATAGGTTCTTCCTGTACCAGATTGCCTTCATAAATCAAAACCAGTACTGGCAAATTTCAGTTCTTTGGGATAAAAAATGACTTGTTTGGAAGTAGTTGTTTTAAGAAATTTAGTATCTCTATTAACATGAAAGACCATCCGAATGATAAGAAGCTAAAAAACAAGTTACAAAATAGTGTATATGATTGATTGTACACTTCTTTTTGGAAATTACTAGTATTCACAAATTTAAGGAAAGCTTAAGGAAGGAAAGTGGGTCTCTGTGAAGAATGGATTGCAAACCATGTTTAATTTCTGTTTTATAATTGTGTTTTTATTTTTATTTTACAATGAACATGTAACACTTTTTAAGCAAAACTATGGTGAAGATGAAAGAAAGTAACAATCCAATGAGAAAATAGACAGTAGATATTTTACCAAAGAACGTTTTAGAAGGTGAGTACATGTCCACTATCATTAGCCATTAGAGAAATGCTAGTTAAAACTACAGTGAGATACCAGTGCACACCTATTAGAGTAACTAAAATAAGATATAGCGAAAATATTGTACCAAATGCTGGTAAGAATGTAGGAAATCTGTCCCTCGTATACTGTGAGTGGGAATATAAAATGGTTCTGCCGCTCCAGACAATTTTTTTGATAGTTTCTTATAAAATGAAGCAAGCACTTAATCATAGGACCCTGCAGTCACATTCGTGGCATTTTTTTCCCAGAGAAATGGAAATTTAGATTCACCCAAAAACTGGGACACAAATGTTCATAGCAGCTTTATTTGTAAGAGCAAAAAAATGGAAGCAACCAAAACGTCTTTCAACAGGTTAAACAAACTCTGGTACCTCCTTACAATGGAATTGTGCTCAGCAATAAAAACAAATAAGCTAATGATACAGACAACATCCCGGATGGGTCTCGCGGTCATTATACTTAGTTAACAGTGTCAGTCTCAAAGATTGCATGATAATGTTCCATTTATATAGCATCCTCAGAATGACAAAACTCTACAGAGAGAACAGGGATTAAGGACGGGGAAGGAGTATGGCTGTGATGGAGTGACGTGGAATAAGTTGCTTTATGGTGATAGGGAGCAGTTCTGTGACTGGGGTAGTAGCTACACACACTAATAAATGAGATAAAACTGCATAGGACTGCACACATGCAAATCAGTGTAAGCAACACAAGACGGTAAAAGCTGAATAAGGGCCCTGACGGGTGTGGCTCAGTGGGTTGGGCATTATCCCGCAAACTGAAACGTTGCCGGTTCAATTCCTGGTCAGGGCACAAGCCTGTGTTGTGGGCCAGGTCCTAGGTTGGGGGTGTGCAAGAGGCAACCAATTGATGTTTCTCTCCTGTGTAGATGTTTCTCTCCCTCTCTTTCTTCCCCCCTTCCCCTCTCTCTAAAAATAAGTAAATGAAATCTTTAGAAAATAAACCAAACTAAATAAGGTCTGTCAGTCTAGTTAACAAGGTTGTACCAATGTCAGTTTCATAATGAGACCTGTGTACGAATTTTGCAACTACTTTGATTTTATAATTATTTTGAAATAAACAGAAAATAAAAAGGTTTTTCATTAGAGGCAAATGAAACTAAATATGTTTATTTCAGCAGCCTAATCTGGTAATATATGTTGTGAATCTCAAAAAAGTGTTTATAAAAATAGAGAATGGTTCAGTGTTTTTGATTGTGGAATCTTCCTCACGCCCCATGACCTCTCAAGGGACTAGTGCTCCTGAGGGGTAGTAATTCCCTGGTGACACTGGCCCACAGGAAAAAAGTCCAAATTCTGCTCCTTAATTTGTAAGGCTGTCCATACCTGGACCCTGTGTGACTATAAGCTTCTCTTAGCCTCTGTCCCTCTCCCACCTACTCGCCTTCCCCAGTCCCGGCTCCCTGGTTGTCCCCTGCATACCACTGACTCTGTCTGCAGTGCCACTCATTCCTCTGCCTGCTCCCCCCCCCCGCCCCCCGCCCCAGTCCCTGCCTAGCACATTGCTCCTTCAGGTATCAGCTGACTCCCTGGGCGTATTCAGGCGCGCTTTCTGCGAGCTTCGGTGTGGCTTCGTTCACAGCGCCATGAGAGAGGCCTCCGCAAGGGTACGTTTGTCCTCAGCGAGTCTCTCGTCTCCGCCTCAGGCATCGCCACCGGTGCTGCCTTCTGATGGGCACTGCAGTTTCTTCCTCCAGCGAGGAGGGGCAAATGTAGTTGAAAGGATGTTTTATTGTTCCTCTGTAGACTCTCCCCTAATAATGATGATACAAAATAACGATTATTTTGATGACTGACGTACCTTATTTTAAGGAACACGGTGATTTTTATTAATTTGTGGTTGCCGTTTTTAATTTTATTTTTAATCCTTTCAGTATTTTGAGGGTTTTTTTTTGTTTGTTTGTTTTTGTAATTTTAAAAAGAAAAGGGGTGGAAAAGGTGGAGCCTTTTGGTGCTTATAGCTGTGAGTGTGTCCCGGAAATACTTGCGTGCCCAATCCCTTTCCTGTCGCTCTGTGCAGACAGATGTGACCCACAAGTCTTTTGTCTCTTTCCAAAGGCATGCCATGTATCAGCAGAGCAAGGAAAACTTCCAGGATGAGTGCACCAAGCTTCTGGTCGGCAACATTGTCATAACCCGGTACAACAACCGCACCTATCGTATTGATGATGTGGATTGGAGTAAGACTCCAAAAGATAGCTTCACCTTGTCTGATGGGAAGGAGATCACATTCTTGGAATACTACAGGTAGAAGAGACTGGGCTTGGTGGCAGGTTGGGGCAGGGACATTGACTACCATACTGAGTTCCATAGTGGTGTGCAATGGGACACTTAAAATAATTGCATTGTAATGTGCCTAAGACGAATGAACTTTGCAAGATTGGACCTGAATATGCCACCCTTACAGTTTCATTACTTTTAGTACTTTCAGAAGTTAATTCATAAATTAATCTCAGGGCTTTGAATTGTATTTCCTTTGCTGGTTTGGTTAGAAGTTTGGTCGGAGATTAAATACAAGTCATTAATCATTTGACTATCATTTTGCCTTTCTAGTTGCCTAAGCCCTTTAGCCTGATGCAGTTTTAAATAAATTCTTTCCTTGACCATAAGCTTGTTCCTGCCCTATTTAATTACAGCAGTAATTTGAGCCTGCTTTTTCAGTTATAAATATGCTGTGATGAGTTTACGATGGACCCTTGACAAGGGTATTATGAAAATTTGACCTCAGACCTGGTTAAAAGACTCAGATTGTGTTGCTGTAAGAGCAGTGATAGTGATGCCGATTCTGAAGTTTTCCTGCCTCTGTCCTACTGTAGCAAAAACTATGGGATCACAATTAAGGAGGAGGACCAGCCACTGCTGATCCACAGACCCAGTGAGAGACAGAACAGCCAAGGGACGGTGAGTTGGAGGAGTCCATCAGCCTTCCTCATGGGCCTTGGGGGCCAAGCAGCAATGGCTGCTGCTAAAGAAGGTCAAAACACTGGATTCATTAGGGAAGTTGTAGACATTTTGAGAGGGCTGGGGCTGGGGAACGTGCCTTCACACCTGACTCTTCTGTCTTAAGCGTGAATGCTGTAGATGGACAGGCTAAGATACGGTAGAGGCACCAGCCTGATAGAATGTGTTGTTTTACCTTGTCTGGAGGCTCGAGAGGGGCAGAATTTTTTTCTAGTTCTTCTTTTGACAGTTTGAATATTTTTCCCTTTATCTAATACAACAGCTGTAAGTGTGACTGAGGGGATAAAGGTAAAATACTTGCAGTGATTCACTGCCCTCCAGGGTGTTAGATTCCTTACTTGGCCCGTCCGTGATAGGCCTGCAGGGCCAGCCCTGCACATGGCATGTCCTACTCAGGGCAGGGGAACGGGATCTTCTTTTATTTTAGCGCCTTATTTTTCCCTCTCCGATCTCTCTTCAAAGCTGCTAAAGGGGGAAATCCTGCTGCTGCCCGAGCTTTCCTTCATGACTGGGATCCCCGAGAAGATGAAGAAGGACTACAGGGCCATGAAGGTGAGCAATGCCTGCTGAGAGCAGGAGACCTCTTCCGCAGCAGATGAGCTAGAACCGTGCCAGGCTTGCATCTTTACCTGGGTAGGTCTGTTCTGCCAAGCTCCGGTTTTCCTCTCTGTAAAACATGGTCATGTCCCTTCCCACACACCGAAAAAGCCAGTCCGAGCTTCCTCATGGAGGCTGTTAAAACGGTAGAGTGGCCAGATCGTAAGGGAACAGATAATTCTCCCTTACCAATCCAGTGGATGAGTGTAAACTGGTCATTTGGTCATAAATGAGATTCTTTGAGAGCACTGAATTTTTTGGAGCATTTCTGTAAGCCTTCAGTTTAGTCGAAGGGATGGAGGAGATAATGTAGGAGAAAGTGAACAAGTTAGAGGATGAGGTAAAAGGACACAAGTTTATCTGGCGGGGCCTGAGGTGTGGTAGAAGTTTTAGGCTCAGTTTCTGCAGCAAATAGCTGAGGAGCAGAGGAGCCCCGGCGCTGCGTGCTTCGCCGGCAGGCTGTCTGTGGCTGCTGGGCTCTCCCCGCGCGAGGTCCGCCACTGCCTCGCTCCCCGGCCCATGTCCATCTGCTCCCTGGACCATGCTGGTCTCAGGTGCCACACAGGATTGTCAGTAACATCATAAAGGGCCTGACGGGACATGACACTTGAGGTTCCTGTAAGAGGTTTTGTTCATGTGCTCCTTCTGATACTTCTGCTTTTAACCTAGGGGTCAAGGGTCTTTCCTTACAACTCCCAGGTGCCTAATGACTTTGTGGCCACAGAGCTATCTGAAGAGCTCTGTAGACTTAACCCTGCCCACCCCTCGGGGAATAACAGCTGTATGAGTTATTAGTCCTAGAAGAATAAAGAAAGAACTCACTTAATTTGATTCAGATTCTTCACACACACATTTGTTACACACTTGTTAGATAGTCATTCAGCAGTAAATATTTAGAAAGCAACTGTTCCTGGCTAACCTCTGGACAAAAAAGTGACTTTAAATGCCTGGTGCAGTATGACATAAAGTGTAAGACTGGATGTGGTTTTCCATTCTGTTATGTTTCCTACGTAATAAGTAGGTAAAATCACGCCCCTTTTACTCTTGTTTCATAGAATCTTTTAGGAATTTTAAATTCAGAATGTGGCATTGAAAAAGGTATGACTTAGATGTCATGACGGAGAGAAAAACGTAACTTTTAAAATTCTTTTACAGTTAAAATTTTAATCTTATGCCTTATTACATTCCCAAGAAATACTTACTGAGTCCTTGGAAATATTTGAAAATTTCTATAGATTTCAGTGGGAAGGTTTCATATAAAAACATTTAAGCTTCCGGCCAAGATGGAGGTGTAGGTAAACATGCTTTACCTCCTTGCACAATTACAGCAAAAATTGCAACTAGACTACAAAACAAGTATCACCCAGATTTGTCAGAAAATCGAGCGATATGGAAGTCAGACAGCCAAGGATTTAAGGAAGGCACATTCATTTAGATGGGTGGGAGGGACAGAGACAGAGAGGTGCAAGAAGAGGTGCAAAGACATGGAACGGGTGGTCCCACACCCACAGATGGTGGATAAAAATCAGGAGGGATATCTCCGGAGGGAGGGATCCCAGCCCCAGACCAGACCACCCAGCCCAGGGTTCTAGCACCAGGAAGATAAGTCCTCATAACTTCTGGCTGTAAAAATCAGTGGGGATTGGGGGAGGGGGTGCAAAAACTATAGGATTCCCAGGAGACTCCTCTTAAAGGGCCCTGCAAGGGTCTTAGGACTTATGTAGATGGACCCGCTCTGGGCTTCAGCCCCGGGGCAGCAGCTGCAAGGGCACCAGTGGCACATGGGGAGAAACTGAAGTGACTGGCAACAGGTTGAGCACCAGGAGACAGCTTCCTCCTGGGCCAGACTCCAGGGGCCAGGCAGCAGCGTCACCGCTCTCAGAGCCCTCCCCCACACGGCCACGGAGCAGGGATGTGGGTTGCTCCGCCCTGGTGATTACCTGAGGCTCCGCCCCATGCAACTTAAAGGTGCGCTCTTCCGTAGCAGGCCGTGCTACTAAGACAGGGAGTCAAAGCACCTGTGCCTAATGCTCAGAAACAAACACAGGGAGGCTGACAAATTGAGAAGACAGGGAATATATGGCCAAAATGAAAGAACAGAACAAAACTCCAGGAGAAGAACTAAATGAAATGGAGATAGCCTACCTATCAGATGCAAAGTTCAAAGCACTGGTTATCAGGATGCTCAAAGAACTCATTTGGTACTGCAACAGCATAAAAAAGACCCAGGGAGAAATGCAGGTTACATTAAGTAAAACGAAGACCTACAGGGAACCAACAGTGGGGGGAGAAAGCCGAGAATCAGATCAACAATTTGGAGCACAAGGAAAAACAAACGCATTCAATGAGAACAGCAAGAAGCAAAAGAATTCATAAAATGAGGATAGACTAAGGAGCCTCTGGGACATATTTGAACATAACAAACATCCACATCATAAGAGTGTCAGAAGGAGAAGAGGAATAGCAAAAAATCGTAAACTTACTTGAAAAAATGATGAAAGAAAACTTTCCTAATTTGGTGAAGGAAATAGACACGCAAATCCAGTAGGCACAGAGTCCCAAACAAGTTGGACCCAAAGAGGACCACACCAAGACACATCATAATTAAAATGCCAAAGGTTAAAGATAAAGAGAGAATCTTAAAAGCAGCAAGAGAAAAGCAGAGAGTTAAATACAAAGGAGTTCTCATAAGACTGTCACCTGATTCCTCAAAAGAAACTTTGCAGGCAAGAAGGGACAGGCAAGAAGTATTCAAAGGATGAAAAGCAAGGACCTACAATCTAGACTACTCTATCCAGCAAACATACCATTTAGAATGGAAGGGCAGATAAAGTGCTTCCCAGACAAGGTAAAACTAAAGGAGTTCATCATCACCAAACCATTATTATATGAAATGTTAAAGGGACTTACTTAAGAAAAAGAAGATCAAAACTATGAACATTAAAATGGCAGTAAATCAACAACTATCAACAACTGAATCTGAAAAGCAAACTAAGCAAACAAGTAGAACAGAAACAATCATAGATATGGAGATCATTTGGAGGGTTATCAGCTGTGGGGGCAAGGGAGAGGATAGGGGAAAAGGTGCAGAGATTAAGAAGTACAAATTGGGTCCTGGCTGGTGTGGCTCAGTGGAGTGAGTGCTAGCCTGCGAGCCAGATGGCTGCTGGTTCAATTCTCAGTCAGGGCACGTGCCTGGGTTGTGGGCCGGGTCCCCAGTGCGGGGCATGTGAGAAGCAACCACACATTGATGTTTCTCTCCCTCTCTTTCTTCTTCCCTTACCCTCTCTAAAGATAAATAAATAAAATCTTTTTTTTTTTTAAAGAAGTAGTACAAATTGGTAGCAACAAAATAGACAGGGGGATGTTAAGAACAGTATAGGAAATGGAGTAGCCAAGGAACTTATGTGCATGACCCATGGACATGAACTAAGGTGGGGGGTGCTGGAGGGAATGGGGGTACCACGCTGAGGGGGGCAATGGGGGAAATATTGGGACAACTGTCATAGCATAAGCAATAAAATATATTTAGAAAAAAGAAAATTAAGACTCTTTGGAGTTTATTTAACCTCATACTGAAGAAAGTAATACTTAAAACAAATTATCTTCATTTTAATTGTGTTTAGGATTTGACCCAGCACATCATCCTGAGCCCCAAACAGCACCATAGTGCTTTGAAATGCTTATTACAGAGAATTTCAAAGAATGAGACAGCCAGCAGTGAACTCACACGTTGGGGACTCTATCTGCAGAAGGATGTACATAAGGTAACCCAGAAGATGTGATCGGGTAGGGACCAGCAGTTTCAGAGCTTTGTAAGGCTCGGTGGTAGCTTCCTATCTTATCTTTATTGTGAAGTTCTTCATTATTTTTTGGGGTTTTTTTTTGTTTGTTTGTTTTTTGTTGGTTTTTTTTTTTTTTTTGGTCCTACTCATACTTGAATTTCTTGGACTTAATTTGTCTAGTCTCTCTTACAGATTCTTCCTCTGTACTTCCCAGGGGTCCGAGCTGTTAATTTCCAGTCAGTTAGGTAGCAACTTAAATGTTACCGCATTTTTAGTTTTCCAGCAGTAATTTCCTAAGCATAAGATGAGTCAGATTCTTTACACTTTTGCTAATATGAGCATCGTTATTCACGGTGTTAAATAGACTTTTATAATGTTAAGAAAACCATTAACAATTTTTTGATTATAGATAAAGTATGTTATTTAAAAACAAACAAACAGTGGAAGTCATAGAAAATAAAAATCCTCCATAATTACTTCCCCAGAGATAATCACTGCTGAGTATGGACTTAGTTTTCTATGGTGCATACCTTACCTTGCCTACCTTTCTTTCTTTCTTTTCCTTCCTTCCTTCCTTCCTTCCTTCCTTCCTTTCTCTTTCTTTCTTTTCTTTCTTTCTCTTCCTTCCTTCCCTTTTTTTTTTTTTTGCAAAAACAGTATTATAGTTAGAAAGTGATTTTAAAGATTGCAGAATAGTTCATTATATTGATATATCATCAACCCTAGTTATCTTCCTATTTTGGGATATTTAGGTCTAACTGATTTATTATTCTTTAATTTGTTCTATCATTATGTTTATGCCTTTTCTTTCCAGCTTTTCCTTTGTATAAAGTAGAATAGTAGTTTATGTTCAGCACTATTAACAAATTTTACCTTTAATTTTTTACTTTCAACTTTTCCCTTAAAGTACATTTAGAGATTACAGTCCTGTTCACCTTGAAATTATAGTTGTATTACATGCATTCTTTGCTTCCAAAAAGACAACGTTTTCTAATCCCTTTCTTGGGAGACCACTTTGGAAGTAACAGGATAAGTCTGTGTTGAGGAGCTGAACAGTCCCCAGAGAGAACAGTATCAGTGTTTTTCTAAATAATGTTTGCAGGTGGTTCAGGTCATAGGTACTCTCTTTTCTCTGTAGATTGAAGGACGTATTCTGCCAATGGAAAGAATTAACTTAAGAAATACTTCGTTTATTACATCTCAGGAAGTAAACTGGATTAAGGAAGTAACCAGAGACTTTTCCATCTTGACTGTAAGTGATTTTCAGGGTGGTAGAGAGAGAACCAGTTTTCTAACATGGTGGATATTAGGAAGGAGGAGTGATTTAGTGTCTTCATTTTGAGAGAAATTCCAGCTGAATTCCCATCCTTAATTATCTACTAGACAGGGTCCTTCAAAGAGAATAAGGGGATGAGTTGTTAGAGGTAAGCCCTTTGCTTGACCGTGGACTTAGGAAAAGAAAATAAATTGCTTTGGTAATTTATGTCTTGCCAGCCTACCAGCCACTCTTCCCTTCTCTGCCCCATCTTTCTGCCTGGGGATGCCTGGAGGGTGTTATTATTCACAAAACAAGCAAAATTAAAACTGTTCCCTACCAAGAGAACCAAAGCACAAAATGGTATGTAATTATTTTTAAATGTTTTTGGCTAACCTGGTCTTTATGGCCACACATAAAGTATACATATCTGTTTCTAAACTTTTTATTGAAATATGGTACATTTAAAGAAAAAAAAGTGCAGTTTTAAGTGTAAAGCTTGATGAATTTTCCCAAGTTAAATAGACCTGTGTAATCAACACAAAGGGCTAAGAAACAGAGCTTCACCAGATCCCCAGAGGTCCCATTCCTGCTCCTAGTTACTTACCTCCCCCACCCTTACACACCCTTGGAGTAGCTGCTGCCCTGGCTTCTAGCAGCATATGCTTGTTTCAGCTGGGTTTTTTTTTTTTTCATATTATAAGAGTTTATGTAGAAATTTATAGAGGTAGGAGAAGAGAGCCCGCTGGGCTGTGTAGGCTCAGGAAACACGTTACAGAAGCGAAAGAAGGACCCTTGGCGCTTAGGAGAGGGAGAGGCAAAGGTAACGCGTCTGGGGGAGGAAGCGGGGAGGGGAAAGGCTCAGGCGAGCTCCTGAGAGGGAGAGTGCGTGTTGTTTCAACTGTTTTTGTACTCAAAACCATACAGTAGACATTCTTGAATGTCCAGCTTTATTTCTTCAACCTTATATTAGAGCTTCACTCGTATTGTTAGGTATGGTTGTAGAGCCTTTGTTCTCATTGCTGTATAGTATTCCATGCTCTGATTGACTTATCACACACATATGTGTTAGTAATGGGACGTAGACGAGGCAGAACTCAAGCCAAAAGAGTGAAAAGCAATTTATTTGCTAGTAACATCTCCAGGGTGTGAGTTTGGAGTGTTTAAGTTATGGGAAGTACTAAAAATAGCTCGTGGTTGTTCCTAGGTCCCCATGCATTTCTGGGCACTCTTCTACCCAAAGAGAGCAATGGACCAGGCCCGAGAACTGGTTAACATGCTAGAGAAGATAGCTGGCCCCATTGGCATGCGCATGAGCCCGCCGGCCTGGGTCGAACTAAAGGATGATCGAACGGAGACCTATATCAGAACTATTCAATCCATGCTTAGAGCTGAGGTAATACGTTTAATTTGAGTAGATTTACAGGATGTCTGTTCTAAAATACTTTGAATACTTGATTTTAAATAAACCTTGGTTATCAGTCTGCTGTGATGCTGTTCAGAAACCTGTGTCTTACTCATATTCACAAGAACTACTGACGAAAATAGCCTGTATGCCCTTCAGTTAACGCTGCTGCTTTCGTTCTGTGTTGGCACTCTCATGACAGTGTTCTGTTCATCACGTAGTTGGCTCAGGGAATAGCTGACTTAACTTTAGTTTGTTATCTATATAGAACATGTCGTGCTCACAAAGCAACTTCTTGGGCCAGGTGCCGTCTTACACGACTCAGTACTGAGCTGTTTCAGGTTGGTCTGGCTCTCGATTCAAATTGTTGTAGCGATGAACTTGGCAGGTGGCCCATCAGCTCAGGGCTGATGGCCAATCAGGGTCACTGGAGCTGGGCAGGTCGTAGTCCTCACAGCTCAGTAGTTCAGACCTGCAGCTCCTTCCTGTTTGTACATACAACGGAGGAAGAAGATTAAGGAGGAAACAAAAGCAGAGAAAAGTTTTTGAGAGGAATTAGTCCTAAAATTGAAGATCAGTTCTTGTGGGATCATTACTAGAATTAGATTACCCACCACTCTGGGTGTATCTATCTGTAGCAGCAGGGAAACACTCCTGTTTTCTTTCCCTTTGTCATTTCCCCCCAACTTGCCGTGCCCGCTCTGCTCTGCGTGGCCTGCCCGGTGCCTGGCCGTCGACAGAGTCCGCTCTGCTTCCGAATGAGCAGCCCGGTTCAGCGCATCCACTCCCCTGTCTCACTGCTTCTCGTGTTCTCTTCCTGGGAGTCTGTTGCCGGCAGTTTTCAGGCTGCGTGGATATGAGTTCCATTCCTAATGTTTACCAGGTTTAACTCATCTTGGTATTGCTGTCTCTCTGTCTTCTTTATGGCACTCTGTTTTTTTATTCTCTCTGTTAGAGGTCACAAGCTCAGATGTCAGCTGGAGCCAGATGAGTGACAGGGACGAGTGGAGTGGGCCAGGAGGGGACTGTAGTGAACTAAAAAGACTAAATGCCATGACTGCAGAAAAAAGCCCAGCATTGTCAAATTGATTTTTAATTTGTTTTTTTCCCCAGTAAAAGCCCCAAACCTAGACTTACATTCATGTGCACTCCCTATGTTTAAATGCTAATAATTTCAAAACTTACACATCATTGCAGGGACCAAAAAACCATATCTGTTTGCTGGTCCCAGTGCACAGCCTGTGTTCTACGTGACGTTGGAAGGTCTTTGATGTGATTGCTGGAACGTCCTCTGAGAAGTCTTATCTAACACTGATCTTGATTTCCAATAGAATACTAATGACCGATCATTTATAGCCATTTTTGCCAACTTTATTTCACTGGAGTGCTACTTGTATTTATTCAGACTTTGAAAGATTATTTTTAGTGCTGGATCTCTGAAGCAGCGAGGGATAGAGGGTGCTGATATGGGATGTGCTGCTGGCGATATCATGCTCCCTTTTAACCAGAGAGAGAGAAAGGGCGTTACTTACAGATTTGACAGTAGCTTTATTTTCATCTGCTTTTGGCCCTGAATTGTTTCTTATGGTATTGAATTCCATGTGGCCTCAAAGTTCTGTGATACGAGTATAGTAAGGTGCTTAGTTTACTAAAGAGAGTGGTAAAAACATTGCAGAGGATTGAAAGCAGCATGTAATAAGTAACCCTTGCTTGTTTTCAGGTCTGGCCCCTTTCTAGGTGTCTTAAGCTTCCTAATAAGTAAATGAGATACTCAGCTCTCAGTAATTTCTGGTAACTTATTACATGTCTGTGCAAAGAAGCCCCGGACCCAACATTCAGGTTCAAGGGCCCTTTCCTGTGTTGGGGTGTCCCCCACCTTTGTTTCAGTCCTCTCTCAGCCTTAACGGGGCCTTGGCTTTGCGGGCTCTGAGCCTGCCTCCGGCTGGAGCCCCGTCAGGGGTCCCAAGCCTGACTTACATACACTTTACCTCCTCAAGGGGAAGATACAGATGGTCGTGTGCATCATCACGGGCACGCGTGACGATCTCTATGGGGCCATTAAGAAGCTTTGCTGCGTGCAGGCTCCAGTGCCTTCACAGGTGAGTGGGAGCTGGGCGGGCGGCGCAGTGGAACCCAGCCTCCCTTGGGGCTTGGAAAGCGGGGTACGTGTGTGCAGAAATACTGCAGTAGCAGTTAGAAGGCAGCACGTGTAGACCCTCCTACGAAACCTTCCCCTTATTGGAGTAACCCCGAGAACAGCAGGCGCCGTTCCTAAGTGCCACCTCCCTGCCCCCGAGGGTGCCCCGGCCGCCTCAGAGCATGGGCCTCCAGGGGGTCTCGCCCGACTGGGTCGCAGGGAGCAGGCTTCACTCAAGGACCGGAGGCTGTTTTCCTATGGAGACTGACGAAATTTTTACTCTGCATGAGATCTTTTGAAGGGTTTTGTTTGTTGTTTTTCAATTTCCTTTTGTGTTTGTGCCGTGTGTGTGTGTGCATGTGCCCAGAAACCCCAGGATTAGAACTGTTAATGCAAAGTGTACTAACTGCTGAGCGGAGTGTCTTAAACAAATATAGGATATACAACTTAGAATTGCTTACACTGTCTGAGTGGGTGACGGTGTCTTCTGTCCCCATACCTTTTGGTCCCTTTGTTACAGGTCATCAACGCCCGAACTATTAGTCAGCCCACCAAGCTTCGGAGTGTGGCCCAGAAGATTTTACTTCAGATTAACTGTAAATTGGGTGGTGAGCTCTGGGGAGTGGATATTCCTCTGGTGAGTGATGCTGAGATATGTCTTCATTCAGGTCAGCTCTCCAGAGAATCCCGCCCACCTGTTTTCCTCACAGGGTTAGCCCGACAGTCAGTGCCTAGTAGTCTGAATGGAGTTCACTGCCTGTTTGTGTATCGCCCATGAGCTAAGAAGGGCTTTTGCACTTTTTAAATGGTGAAACAAAAATAAAGCTAATATTTTCTGACAGATGAAAATTACATGAAATTCACTTGCCAGTGTCCTTAAATGCAGTTTTGTGGGAACACGCTGTACACCACTGGGTGCTGCCGTGGCAGCCTGGGCGGCTCCTGCAGAGGCCGCGTGGCTCACGAAGCCCGAGGCGTTCAGTCACTCGGTAGTCCTTTGCAGAAAAAGTGTGCGGATCCCTCATATAAATAGCTGCCTTTGTATTGTGTTTTGAAAATGTTGCATTGATTCCAATCTTTCTCTTCCTTTCCCAGAACTTATTTTCATATGTTGCATTGGGGTTCAGGTAATAATTAAAGATGGGTTTTTTCATTCACTTCTTTTCTTTCCCGACGCAGAAGCAGTTAATGGTGGTCGGGATGGATGTTTACCACGACCCCAGCAGGGGCATGCGCTCCGTGGTCGGCTTCGTGGCGAGCATCAGCCTGTAAGCAGCCTGCGTCGCGCCGCTTTGTTCGGCTCCCTCATCTCGATACTAATCTTACTGTAAATACAGCGAACACTTTTGATTATTTCGTATTAAGGTAAAAGTATACTTCTTTTACCTAATACATGAAAGTATACTCAACTCCGTCCTCCTCTGCCTTCCTACGATACCAGTTTACGGAGTCTATTTACCAAACCGGCCACGTGTGTCAGTTTGTTCGCTGGCTGCTACACAGCCCCCTTCAGAATGGGGACTCTGTCTTGTCGGAGGTGGGTTCACCCCCCCTCCGCCTAGAAATGAAGAGATTTGTTTGTTTATTTGTTCTGACTGTAAAATTAAGGCATGCCCATGCAAAATATCTGCTGAAATTTAAAAGTGAGTTTTCTATGGTTCATTTTCTATTAATCACTACCTAAGGTTTGATGTATATATACTTTCAGATTCTCTTTTGTGCATGTGCTAACACACACAGGTGCTGTATATATATGTATACAAATGGCATAGTATTTTGTATACTCTTCCTCAGCTTGATTTTAGTACTTAAACTATATATTTTGGACATTTTTCCCATATCAGTACAAGTAATTCTCAATTCTCTTTAACTCTTGTATGGAGTTTATTGTATGCCTCAGCACTGTTTACTTAACTAGTCCTCTGTTGGTGGATATCTACATTGTCTAATTTTTTCAGCTGGAAGTAGTTTTGTGGCAAGTATCCACAACTATGCCTATCTTTTTACATTCTGTATGTGGCATGCATATATATATATATATATATATATATATATATATATATATATATATATATAAAAATACCGGTGTGTGTTACATGTGGCTTCACATGTCATCTAAATACATTTGCTACTTGTTGTTGGCCTGGTGCTTAGAGACGCCCATGCGTGTGCCATTCACACTGCAGGCCTTTCCCTGTGGGCGTGTGTTCATGCTTTTCTCTTTCTCTCTCCTTACCGCCTCCATCCCAGCACCCTCACAAAATGGTATTCACGAGTGGTATTCCAGATGCCGCATCAAGAGATTGTGGACAGCCTGAAGCTCTGCCTGGTGGGCTCTTTAAAAAAGTTTTATGAGGTGAGGAGAATGGGAACCCTAAACGCTGAGGGTTTGAAGGACTGCATGAGCATTTCCAGAGGAAGTCTGACTTAGTGGGGGGGGCGGGGGTCCCACCTTGAAGGCATGTCTCTTATGCAAACTGAAGGGTTAGTTGTTGCTGAGCAGGCAGCTTGACAGGGCTGCTTTCTGGCTGCTGCTTGCACAGTGGCCTGCAGAGCTAGAGGCCTCCGCTGGGTTTGGTAAATAGTGATTGCTTCCGAGGTTGTCAGCCTAATGCCTGAAAACTTAGTCCTCAGGCCCTTATCAGGGAGACTGGGGGTAAATTTCAGCAATTAAAGCAGTTTATGAGTTTACTCAGCTTTATAGCTGTCATTAGGCGCTGGCTCTTTTCATTTGGGTTCAAGACAAATGCCTCCCTGTAAATTAGCCATAGAATCCAAAGGAATGCTAACCACAGAGAATTGCTGTCATTAAGCTGATACTGGGTCTGGAAAAATGAACCAGCAGAATACTAGGCTTTGTCTTGGCGAGTACATCAAAGCAAGCACCGGTAGGTAACTTTCATTTCTTAGGGTCAGAGTTAGCCCTTTGCATGGAGATTAACCAGCAAGAAATTTAATAATTTCATGTAATTAAACTCAGTCTCTAGAACTCTTCCTTGTTTCTTTTTAGAGTAACTGTTTCTTATGTCCTTCAAATAGTTTGATACTGTTTCAGGATTCATTGGAGACTATATAGGAAAAAAGTTGAATTTTTGTCTCTAGGGAGGTCCCTGTGATATGTTGCTTTGCTCTCAAGTTCTACCACACCTTCCTTTTTCTTGTCATTACTGCTCTCCTTGGATGTTCTGTCTCCTAGGCCCTTGCTCAAAAGTTACTTCTGTGAAGCCTTTCCCTTTATCACCCCGCCCCTGCCCCAGCTCCAGCCCTTAGCAAGACTTCTATTTTTATATTCTTCTCCCAAGGCCCTTAATTTATAGTCTGTGTTGTGATCAGCACACCCTGCCTTGTATTAAATTCTTGGGTCATTGCATATCTTTCCCTCTGGGTTGTAATTTACTTGAGCACACTTTGGTTATTGATGGCTGTGTAACAAATGACTCTAAAACTTAGTGACATGCAGTGAGCATTTATGGTGTTCATTGTCAGGAAGTTGGACAGGGCACTGCGGGGCCCAGTTCCTCCTCATGTGGTCTTGCCACGTCTGCTCACTTGGGCTCCCTCACAGCGTGGGGTCTGGGTTCAGTGCGTCCGTGTTCCAGGAGACTGAGAGAGCAGGTGCAAGTCATGTTGCCTTCTCTACCTTAGCCTGGAAGGTCATGCAGCATCACCTCCGCTGCATTCTGTTTGTTGACTAATGTCATTATGAATACGCCGCACAACTGGAGGAGCCGGCAAACCTCAGTTTTGCCAGGGAGGGTGAGGGCACAGTTTGCCCCATCAGGCCTTTAGGAATTCTCACGTAAAGATTTAAGAATGCAGTCAAAGTGTACATCTTAGCGATCGTTATGGGTTGAATTATGCCCCTACCCTGAAAAGATGTTGAAGCCCTACCAGTGAATGTAACCTTATTTAGAAATAGGGTTTTTGCGGATGATCCAGTTAAGATGAGGTCATTAGAGTAGCCCCTAATCCAATATGACTGTGTCCTTACGAAAAGAGGAGATGTGGACACACAGACACGCACACACAGAGGAAAAGCAATGTGAAGACACAAGGAGATCACAGAGGAACACCTGAGGCCACCCCAGGAGCTAGGAGAGAGGCATGGAAAAGACTCCCATAGGCCTCAGAAGGAACCAGCCCTGCCAGTACCTTGATTTTGGACGTCTAGGCGTACCATGAAGCAGTACGTTTCTGTTGCGTAAGCCACCTGTTAGTGGTGCTTTGTCACAGGAGCTCTAGAAAGCGAGTCCACCGCCAGCTTTGGCACCTGCGGCTGCAGCCCTGATCCAAGAACCACTACACCAGGCAAGAAAAAGAGTGTTAACACCCCTGTCAGGGAAAACAAAGAAAAGTATTGCTGCACCTGCATCCTCCCCCCGCAGCCCCTTCCCTAGAGCCCGTAGGGAAGGGGGGAACCCGTCTGGCGGGACCTTTCCTTGGCCCCCAACCGTGCTGAGTGGGAGTGCACACTCAGGGACGTGTTAGCCAGCTCTCACACCTTTCTTCATTCCCTCTGTTTGAGACAAGAAGTGCTTCAGTTGCCCATCCTAGTTCTCTGTCAAACTGTTACCTGAGAATGAAAGTGTGGTCTTTGGTCTGAAGAACTGTGGCCTGGCGAGCCGAATTGGTGAAATATCTTCTGTTTTAGTCTTTTTGTAGTATTTTGTGCGGTGGCATCTCCCAGGAGGTATGCAAAGCCCAGTCCAGAATCGGTGTCTGTTTCCCTCAGGGACTGTTTGTAGCCCCCTGGAGCCACCTGCTCAGCCCAGCTTGCCAGCCCTGTGCGGGCTTTCCCTCCGGGATCTGCCCCAGAGCCACCTCCGATCTCTGTTTCTCCCCTGGGCAGACGGAACAGTTCCCATTGGTGTTTTGCACTTCAGAGGGTGCGAGAGAAGTACGTCTAGATTCAGCCCATTTCCTCCTTGCTGCAGCCTCCAGTGTCCGCTCATTTCATGGACCCAGGTGCCGCCTCAAGCACGCACACCGGGGTGGTCACTTGCGGGTTCCAGCCACTTTCTCATCCTGGGAGGGGGCAGTTAGTCCCCATTCACCCCTCCCCCTACTTCCTGGTACTATCTACTCTGCTTTTGGTCTCTATGAATTTGGCAATTTGGGATATATAGAAATAATCATAAATGATATGACCTTTTGTTTTTGGCTGCTTTCATTGAGCAAGTTTTTAAGGTTCATCTAAGTCATAGTATATATTAGTACTTTGTTACTTTTTATAGATGAATAGTATTCCATTGTATGTATATTTCACAATTTGTTTATCTATTCATCATTGATGGATATTTGAACTGTTCCCACCTTTTGATTATTGTGAATAATGCTGCTGTGAAGATGCTTATCTATGTATTTGTTAGATTACCTATTTTCTTTTCTTTTGGTTATACACCTGGGAGTAAAATTGATGGGTCATGTCGTAATTTCTGTGTTTAACTTTTTGAGGAACTGCCAAACTGTTTCCACAGTGGCTGTACCATTTTACATTCCTAACTGCAATGTATAAAAGTTTGAGTTTCTCCACGTGCTCTTTAACAGTTTTTATTTTTCATTTTTTAAAAGATTTTATTTATTTATTTTTAGAGAGGGGAGGGAGGGAGAGAGAGAGAGAGAAATATCAGTGTGTGGTTGCCTCTCAAGCACCCACTACTGGGGACCTGGCCCACAACCCAGGCGTGTGCCCTGCACTGGGACTCGAATAGGCCACCCTTTGGTTCACAGGCTGGCGCTCAATCCACTGAGCTGCACCAGCCAGGGCTATTTTTCATTATTTAATTGAATTCCATTTCCTTAATGACGAGTGATGTTTCTATGTTTATCACCCATTTGTATATCCTCTTTGGAAAAGTCTTTTCAAATGTTTTCCCTACTTTTTAATTGAGGTATTTGTCTTTTGGTTGTTGAGTTAAAAGAGGGTTTTTTAAAAACATATTCTGGATACAGAACCCTTATTTGATATAAGATTTGCAGATATTTTTGCCTTTTCTGTAGGGTGTCTTCACTTTCTCAATAATGTTATTTGATGCACAAAAGTTTCAAATTTTAACAGAGTCCACTTCCTTTTTTTTCTTATTTTGTTCCTATGTCTTTGATGTGAAATCTAAGAATCTGTTTCCCTCGGGGACTGTTTGTAGCCCCCTGGAGCCACCTGCTCAGCCCAGCTTGCCAGCCCTGTGCGGGCTTATCTGTTGCCAAATCTGAGATTTACCCTGTATTTTCTTTCAACCAGTTTCATAGCTGAAGCTCTTATGTTTAGGTCATTGATCCATTTTGAGTTACACTTCATATGGAGTGAGGTAGAGGTCCAACTTGATTCTTTTGTATGTGGTTATCTACTTGTCTCAGAAGCACTTGTTGAAGAGACTGTATTCTTTTTCCGTAATAAAGTATTGGAATTCTTGTTAAAAATGAATTGGCCGTAGGTATTTGGATTTCTTTCTTTTTTTAAATTGACTTCATTGGGGTGACATTAGTTAATAAAATTACTTAGGCTTCAGGATACAATTCTACTATACATCATCTGCATATTGTATTGTGTGTTCACCACCCCAAGACAAGTCTCCTATCACCATTTATCCCTCCCATATGGATTTATTTCTGAACTCTAAATTCTGTTCCATTGGTCTGTATGTCCATCCTTATGTCAATAAAACACAGTTTCAATGACTGTTTCTTTTTAGTTAATTTTGAAATTGGGAAGTGTGAATCTGCCAGTTTTGTTTCTTTTTTGATGTTGTTTTAGCTATTCAGGGCCACTTAGAATTGCATACGAATTTGAGAATAGGCATTTCCATTTTTGCCAAAAAAAAGGGGGGGGGAATTTTCATAAGCTTTGTATCAAATGTGTAAATAGTTTTGCAAATATTGCCATCTTAATAATACTGAGTCTTGCAATATATGGATCTAAGGGGTCTTTTCATTTATTTAGGTCTACTAAAATTTTTCAGCAGTGTTGTATAGTTTTCACGTAAAAGTATTTTACTTCCTTGGTTAAATTTATTTCTATGTATTTTAGTATTTGGGATGCAATTGTAATTATAAATGAAATAGTTTTATTAATTTCACTTTTGAATTTTTAACTGCAGGTGTACAGGAATACAACTTGTTTTAGCCTATTAACCTTTAACCCTGCAAGTTTCTGAATTTATTTATTATCTTTTAAAAAATTCTTTGGGATTTAAAAATTCTTTCAGTTGATACAGTCATATCATCTACATATAGATGTAGATGAACTTTTTTCTTTACAATTCGGATGCCTTTTATTTGTTTTTCTTGCTTAGGTGCTTGGGCTGGTATTTCCAGTACAAGTTTGAAAAGCAGATGTGAAAACAGGCATTCTTGTCTTTT